TATAAAAACCTAATAAAAACTAATAGAAAGGACCTGTAGGTTAGAATGGGTAAAAGATACGCCAGTAGGTTATGTCTTAACATGTTGTAATTCAGTCAAGAGGGCAAGGAAGATCGAAAGGAAAAACGATCAGAGGACTGGTGAGTGAAGTGTGACGGAACAAAGTGAAAATTTTCTCTCTTCTGGCACTTAATTTTATTTATGTTTGGCTTAATATTCTTTAGAGCCCTACCTCAGTTAATTAGATTCCGAATAGTTTGTGTAGTTGTTCTATAGCAAAATTAATCTTATTTTATGATAGGGAAAAGTAGATGATTGGGGGAATTTAATTAAGATTACATTTGTAGTTTCTCATCATTTTCTTCTGTTTTGGTTTTGCCTAAAAAGTACCGTGTTCTAAATTGACTGACGAAGTGCTAAAATTGCTCAATGCTTGTTCAAAATCAGTGTTTTTTTTTTTTTCTTTATTTTTGTTTTTGTTTTTTGGCAGGAGGCAGGGAGGGGTGGAAACAGTGATACAGTCTATTCTCTTTAGTATTTACTTGACTCATTTAGTTCAAAAGTGCATGCTGTCATTTGCACTTTAGAACTGTGGGTGTTTACTCAGAGCAGGAGAACCTTTTTGTGTCAGTTCAGAAGGAGGATCTTATACATTCTTCCAGGCAGAACATACATGTGCCAAAGACAGGCTATCCCCTCTAAGCTGACTGCTCATGAGGCAAGCGAGGGCCCACACCGTGCTGGCCCAGGACCGCGAACCACCTCGGAGCTCAGCCGGCCGTAAGGCCAGTGCTTTGAAAGGTTCTGTTGCATCATCCATATTTTCACCGACTGGGTGAACATGTAATTTGCCACGTGGTACGTCCAGAATTGGACTCACCACCTTCTTTTCTTTGTCTGCATTGATATTACTGGAAACATCAGTTTTCCTTCTGCTCATTCTTTAAACTTTGCAGTCACTTCCAACTACTCTCTTTTATTGCATGTATCCTATGAATCATTAACATCGGCAGAATCTTCGTAGCATAGATAATTTTGCTTGACCTTTGATGACATAGCCCTGGAGTTTACCCCTGGTTCGGCTACTTGCTAGCTATACTCCTTGAGCAAATTACTTTACTGCTCAGTCTCCACAAATGTATCTAGAATGTAATAGGTACTCAATCTATGGCCATAGGTGCTGCTGTTGCCATTAAGTAAGAATGTTCCATCTTCCATATCTGTTCCTTCCTTCTGTAACTGCCTCATCCAAGCTCTGAGCCCTTCTCTCTTGCATTGCTGTCACAGCTTCTTTGCTGGTCTCTTTGTTCTCCAGTCCATCTCACCAGACTATAATAGTTCCTAAATACTAGCTTTTTATTAGCACACTCAAAAACCTTAGTAGCTTCCAGTTTCCTACCCTATAATCTAAACACCTAGCTTTCTAGGCCTCCATTATTTGCAGGAGCCTCTTCACGGTCTGTCTGCATTCACCCTGATACTTTCAAAACAGCTTTCTGACCATGTCACACACACACACGCGCGCGTGCGCGCACACACACACACACTCTCTCTCTCTCTCTCTCTCTCTCTCTCACACACACACACACACACACACACACACACACAACCATTTAGGGGCTCTTTGTATAAAATGCCCAAATCCTCACCCTGGTATTCACAGTCCTGTTTGATCCGAGCCCTGTCCATCTCTCTACTCTCACATATACTCTTGCCCTTTGCCATCTCCACACCAGCCGCAAGGTCCTGCCTAAAGTCTGTCTGTCTACAGTGCTACTTCCTCTCGAGTCTTTGCACATGCTGTTTACTCTGCCTGTAATGTTCTCCACTCCGTCTTTTACTCATTCTTACTCATTATTTGGGCTCTCAGCATGTCACTTTTTCAGGAAAGCCTTCCCTGTCTAAGTGAAATCTATCTGTTACTTCCTAGAACCACAGGCTGGTCCTTCAGTGCATTCAGCACAGTTGCAATTTTACATATATCCGGTAGATATTTCACAGACATTTCTCCCTAATTAGGCAATAAGTTCTGTAAAAACAATTTTTGGCCACCATTGTTCTCTCTGCCCCTCCCCCCCCCGCCACTGTTTGGATCTGCGCACGGCACATAATAGTTGATTTAAAAAATGCTCATTGAATTAATTGCCTTCCTCTCTTCAATCTAAATCCCCATACCTCCATAACATGGACTTACGTCATATCCCTTTCATCAGTTTGCCATTAATATGTAATGTCCATGCCCTCAAGTTCCTCTCACCTAGAATGTCTATTTTGCTTCCTTGCATCCACCTAAACCCAATCCTCAAGGCTCAGCCCCATTGTTTCTTCAGCAGAGCCTCTGAAAACAATGCTCGTCTTCACGATGCTCGTCTTCTTTTTCTGTAAGTTTGAAACTCAGTATCTCGTTTCATACTTCGTTATTTATTGCACTGCTCTGTTGTGACACATACATTAGCCTGTTCTCCTAGTCAAATTGCAAGTCTCATGGAAACCAGCTCATTCATGTGTCCTCCTTGGTGCCTAGCATAGTGCTAATAAGCTGGATAGGTCATCAGTGTATGTGGATTGAATAGTGTTTATCCCTGTTTCACAAAGCCTGCTCAGAGCATAACACATAGTAAAGGGGCAAAAAAGATTTGCTGAAAGAAATATTTATGCCAAAAAACTACAAAAAGAAATTCTAGGAAGTTCTTAGAGTGAAAATAATGTCTTTGGGATTCAAACATAAGGCAAATTAATTTTGTCTTCATCTACGGGCCATCCCTCTGAAGATTTACAGTTCTTAAGCTAAAGGAAACTGCTAATGTGATGCAAGCACTGGAAACCTCAGAATCCCTCTCGTCAAACTTCGAATCAATAAAAAGGACTCGTCCTCGCCATCTCCAAATGGCTACTTGACCTCTCTGGGTCACAATTCGTATACTTTACTAGGCAGCTTTAAACATCTTTCTGTCTCTGAAATCTTTAGGATTCAAAGGTATCTATGCTTCATAATTAAGTTGACTTAAATAAGCTTTCTGTAATTAGGATGAGCGTTTCAGGCAGCCAGATTACTCCTATGCTCAACCATATGAAAAACAATCCCATCTGAAGTCATTCGGAAGGTAATATAAGGAAATGATCTTCAGCATTAGAAGGCATATTAAGAAGCGTAGCTGGAGCAGCCTGCTAGCTGGAATATGAGAAATGCAGAGTCCTCAGGGCCACCTTCACGGCACCCTAACAGCTCTGAAGGGAAAGCTAATTGAGCGTGTGACTATCAGATCTTCCCGCATTCCAGCATGTTAGAATCGTACAATCTTGTCATTTTACAAATGGCTTATTAATTTGATCAGTTGTCACTGAAGTAAGAAAAAAATTTTTAGGAATGAAAAAGTATGGAACCATATTTTTTTTCTAAAACGTAGTGTTTGGCAACATAAAGACTGAAAAACACAGAAATGATTTGTATTTACAGTGTCCAAAGTACTGGGATAGTTATAAACTGCTAATATAAAATGTTTTTATTAAGGCATAAAATGCATGATTTCGTACAGCGAGATACATATACAGCTCCATGAACTTTTGCATATATATCCACTCATGCAACCACCACCCATGCGACTACCACCCACATCAAGACGTAGAACATTTCCAGTCCCCGAGAGGGGGGCTCTCGCCTGCCTTTTTTGGTCAACCCCCCACCCCCTGCCACACTGTAATCGTCATCCTGATTTCTATCACCATTGGTTAGTTTTGCCTGATTGCGAAAATGTATATAAGTGAAGTCATATACTATGTATTCTTTTGTTTCTGGCTGCTTTTGCTGAACATTTCGTGTTGCTGTGGGTATCCATGGTTTGTTCATTTTCATTGCTTTGAAGAATTCCATTAGCTAAGCACATCCTGGTGTATCTATTTATCCTTTTATCTGTGAACATTTGGGAATTTTAGTTTGGGGTTATTGTGAATAAAAGTGCTATGAACATTCTTCTACATGTCTTTTAATGGACAGAAGTACTCATTTCATGTATACATATACATATATATGCACATATATACATATGTATATAGAAGTACTCATTTCATGTATACATATATATATAAAATATATATATAATACTTAAAAGTGGGATCGCTGGGTCATAGGATAGGCATATGTTGTTTAATTTAAATATATACTGCCAAACAGTTTTCTTAAGTGATTGAACAGTGATTATTTTAATTCACGAATGGAGGATGTGACTCCAAGGTAACTACTATTACATAGTCCAATTGTATCATTTGTTTGTGGTTATTAATATGAACTGACATTTTAAAAGCATATTATATTAACACAGGCACTAGAGTTGTGCCAGCCCACGTACAGGTTGGAATTAAAGATGAAAGGAAGTTGAAAAATGTTTATAGTCTAAAATTCCATTAAAAAATTCAGCTGCATAGAAAAGTATTAAACAATTAGAACTTTAATAAACTCTGTCATTTGGTGAATTATTCTTTTCTTTGGAGTATTGAGAATTGATGTTTGGAGATTAAAATTAATTAATTGTAATTCAGAAAAATATATTAAGAAACTTGTTTGCCTTGGTCAAATAAGAAGGCATTATTCAAAGCAGATACATGAAAAAGGCTGATAATTTGGGCTAAACATATTGTTCTGTCGAATAATTGGAGTTTATTCCCCCTACGCCTGATAAAAATAACATTTTGATATCCCAGACCCATGCTATTATTTTTCTATCCATTTCTGTTTTGCTTTCATAAAGCTATAAAGTGTATTTTTTTTTTTCATGTGACCAGGGAATTGTCTAACTTGCTTTCACTTTAATTTACCTGCCTCCACTTTACAGATTCTTTTAGCAGAAAGAAGATGTGTGTTTATCTATTTACAAAGAACCGAAAACCAAAGAGCGCTCCATTCTCTGTGCAGAGACATGGGGAAATGGGAAAGCTCGCACAGAGGTCTCATGCCATTTGCTTCTGAGTGTAAAAGCCGTGGTTTTGCTTTTTCTCTGTTCCAGCTATCTCAGGGATCTCCAGAGCCTATCGAGCCCAACTTTTTCACAGCAGATTACCATTTATTGCGTCATTCAGCGGGTGGAAACAGCCTGTCCCCCAATGACCCAACAGGTAACGGTCTTCGACACAGGAAATGTGGCTTTCCCGAAGAAATACTCTGTTTGGATCAACAGCTATCCTTACAAGATTATCTTTAATTTAAAAGAATAATGGAGCTTATTTTGAGTATCTGTGGCAATAGTTGAAAGGGACATATGGTAGTAACCTTGAAATTCCCTGAGATTTATTTTACCCAGTTGTGACATCTTCCTTGATCATTTATTAATACCAGAATCTGTGCGGGTGAATCCTATTTCTTTTTATTCCTTCTTGCTTATCTGGTGATGGGAAATCAAATGCCCAAAAGCACCTGGGGAGATAAAAAGCAGAAATGAAGATTCCTAAATGAATATTTAAAACAAACAAATAAACAAACAAACAAACATTGGAAACTTACCTGAAGAATCCAAATCGAACATATTTAATTTTTTTCTTTTGGTATAAATCTCACATGGAGGCCCAATATAGCATAGGGATTAAATGTGTAAATTCTCAAGACCTAGATGCCTAGATTCAAATCTTGGCTCAACCATTTCGTAGTTGGCCTGGGGCAAATTATTTGGCCTCTTTGAATTTCAGTTTCCTTACCTGTGAAATGGGGGTAAAAATGGTATCCACATCACAGGGTTATAGTGACGATCTGTGAAAACATGTAAAAAGTGCTCGGCCTGTAGTAGGGGCTCAGCAAAATGTAACTTGTAATATTTGAACTTTCAGAAGAGGTTTTCAAGCTATTCCGAGGTTCCAGAGTTACTAGGTAATTTTTGAATCCCTATAAACTATAGTGTTTGTGGTTAAATGAAGACTTGCCATCTCCTCAACTAGAAAACCACTCTCTTCTGTTGTGCTTTCCTTGTTGCTGCATTTAGGCAAATCATTGCATGTGCTGTTATGTTAAACTTCCCCTGCGTTCTTGGACTTCCGGAATAAAGCTAACTTGTGTAGGCAGAATTTCACTGAAAATAATTCCTGAGACATCCGAGATAAACTATTGTTTAAAGTCATTTTCTTTTGGAAGCATCTCCCAGGTCACGTAAGCCAGTCTGCAGGCCAGACTTCCTACAGCAGCAACTCTGATGTGAAGGTCACTGGTGGAAGGTTTTCAGGGGCCTGAGATAGAGCCGACGGACTCTTTCAGGGCAGCTGGACACCCCACCCCAGAGCAGACCAGATGTTGTCACAGCAGGCTGGGCAAAAGCAAAGACAGCAAAGCCTTCGAGCGCTTCAGGGAGCACTTTTAAAGCTGCTAGGACTTACATCCTCATGCCTCCCCTCAGCCCTCAACTCATTCTTTCTAACGTCTCTCCAAAGTGGCAGGGGAACTCCAGGCCTCCACATGAGTCAGTGTTAATTGATTTGAGTGGAAGCTGGTTACCATTGCTTTGGGTGGCGTTGAGATGAGTTAAGGTGCTGGTATGTCATACTCAGACCAAGCATCAAAAGAAATATTGTCTTCTGGCATTAAATGTATGTATTTTATTTCCCTCTAGGCAGCCATTGGAAAGAGTCCGATCTTTGTTGTCTTTCACTGTCTATTTCTGCCTCCCTCTAAAAATGTATTTTCTTTCTAGTACATATATACTCTTTGCCTTGTGGATTAGGGAGTGTCTTAATCAGAAAACTTGCCCATCAGATAGTTTCTGTTTGGCATCACTTCTCATCTAGCCTTCTCTCTCTCTGTCTCTGTCTCTGTCTCTGTCTCTCCCTGTGTCTCTGTCTCTCTGTCTCTCTGTCTCTCTGTCTCTCTGTCTCTCTCTCTCTCTCTCTCTCTCTCTCTCACACACACACACACACACACACATACACAGAAAGCTAGCTTAATTGGCTAATTTATACCATGAGCAATACCCTAAATCTTTGTGTATTATTTTGTGATGGCTGCCCCAAAAGCAGCCAGTTATTAAAGGAAGAAAAACAAAGAGTTTGAATATTCAAAGCCGAGATAATTTGGAATGTGCTTATAAGACTCATCTCCATCATTAAGAAATTGACTTGTTTTCCCTGCAGTTGAGTCATATTGCCAATAAAGTCTAAGAAAATATGAATCAAATGTCAGATTTTCCATAATTTATTTCAGGCCTACCTACCAGCTTTGATTTGGAAGAAGGAATAACATATGAACAAATGCAGGTAAGGTTTTTTAGTGCCTCTGGATGATTTTATTTTGTTGCTTTTAATTCAATACTAACTGGATTTTTTTTTTCTACTTTAGACTGTGATTGAAGAAGTGCTAGAGGAGAGTGGTTATTACAATTTTACTTCTAACAGGTGAGCTCTAGAGTTTGCTTTCAAATTTGAAAAATCAATTGAGATCATTGGATATTATATCTGATTTCTCTATACTTGATTCTAGAGGGTTTTCCCCCAACTTTTACTTTAAACACTTTTGTAAAATATCTTCACTTAGGCCAAATACTACCATAGTAGAATATCTGTAGCTCATCTTTTGTATGGATATTGTACTCTGTTGAAAAAGAAAGAGTGATCGCTGAGTAGTAATTTACTCCCATTAAAAAAAAATGAACATAATGAATGGAAAAGCATTTCTAGATTGTTTTTTAATTTAAATAGTTGTTTGTTCCATTCCAGAAGAGCTGTAAACAGATTTTCATCACTGAAATCTACCCATTTTTTTTTTTTTGTGTAGAATGTAAGGGGGAAAATGCAACTAACCAAAGAATCACTTCCGGTGAATTTAAGATATATTTGTGGGAAAGGGATTTGTTGGTATGTGTTGCCATTTGTTTATCCTTATAAGAAATCTCACTTTGCAAGGACTACATATTATCTTCTAATATAACCATTATTGGTGCTATCAATTTCATCCAGTTCTGGGTTCCTACAATTTTACTCTTGGGCATGGTGTCGGACACAGAGATTTGGGTACAATTAGTTTAGTCGAGAAGCAGTCCCAGGAAGCACTGGTAAGGGAGTGGAGAAATAATTCAATAAAGGTTTCATTTTCAAGCAAGTTATCATTGTGAGTAGCTGGAGCTTGATCCCACTGGGAAAATTTGAGAGCCAGTGTAGAATATGCCCCTCACTTATTCCCCTCAAGGACTGAGGGAGCTGGGGTGTTTATCCTCCAGTTTCCATCAGCCATTGTTTGTAGCCTTTCCCCAGGGAATATTAGTTCCCTGGCATTTCTGGCCTTCTGTGGGGTGGTCAAAGCAGATTCTAGAGGCCAGCAAAATCCTCAGGAAAAGAAACACTGCTGCTGGCAGTTAGAAATCAGGTTGGCATGCTTTGAAGTAGTACAGATGAGGGGTATGGGCGCCAGCAGTGTCTCCTAACACGGGTTGTGTTGTGACTTTTCCAAGGAGTCATATAGAGTGTATATTGATCATAAGCAGTCACATACATGTTCTATATGGCTTAACATTGCTTTAGAAGGCACAGTCTTGTGGAGTTTGTTCTCATAGAGTGGCCTTTTATGCTTGGAGAAACTGCCTTCCTTTCTAGGTAGTGAAACTATCTTGAGACCACGACTTAAATTATTCAAGAAGTCTTCCCCAATGATAACTGTTGGACATAGTAAGAGAAAGAGGTCTGAAGAACATCCTGTTAAGGCCATTACATGGAAATTAGAGTCTTTTTTTTTGAGGTCATTTCAGTCCCCAACAGTTTTTCTTCCTTCTGGTTCAACGAGTTTTTCTTATGAATCTCACCTAAGATTATTCAACTGCTTGACGATTTATTTCCAAAATACTGCCTTTGTAAATTTAGTTCTGTTGTGATTTGTAATTGCAGAGAAATGATGAGTAATTCTCATTTTCCAAAAGTATGTTGTTAATAGAAATCACCATCTCCATAGTCGCTCTCCTCCCCCATTCCTGGAGAGATTTAAAATTTCTTTTTCAACCCTTGGACTGAGACTATCCTGCCTTCCATGGATGGTATGAATGTCTCTGTTATTGATTCTCAGCATATTATTTCAAGTGCTCTTGGATTAAGTGGGGGCAAAAGTCATGCTTGTCACTTTTTAACCTACATTTTCTCAGAGGCTCAGGATCATGAACAATGAATGTCTTCATATTTTTGCAGAAAATCAACTAAACATCAGTAAAAAGCAGGTGTATAAAGGAATTAGGAAAGCTCTTACAAGAGCTATTTTATCTTTTTTAAAAACAATTTCAGTCTTAGTTTGAAATTTATGGTTATCCTTTTACAGTTCTCCTATCAAGTTTTTAAAAAGTCAAATATTATTTCTACTTCCAAAGACATATTCCTGTATTAAAAGACATTGCAAATTCTCTTATGATAAACACATAATAAGATGCCTAATAACAAAGGCAAAAATACATTCAGTTATATTCAGAATTGTGAAAACAATAGGAAGATATGATTTAAATAATCAAGTTCAAGCAACGTATGATTGATATGACATAAATTTTCTTAAAATGCTCCAAGTTGAAGTGAGCCACCCATTTAAACATGCCTGTAGCCATAACTCTCCTTTTTCTGCTTTTAATAGCAATGATAGAATATATCTCAGAAGAAAGATTCTTTTCAGTTTACTAGTAAAAATAACCCTTGGTTGTGCTTTAAGCCATCACTTGTTTACTGGTGTTCTAAATTAATTCCCAAGAAATAAGTCAGGCTCCACTTAGAAACACCTAATACTGCATAAACTGGAAAAACACATAATTTCAAATACAAATCAAATCAGCTATGACAGTCCTGATATTTCCATAGTCAAAGGATAGAGTATATTAAATATCACAAAACATGTACAGGTATTTAGAATCAGTATTTAGAACCAGTAGATTGTATTTTCCTAAATAGGTTCTGTAGAATAACCAATGATATTAATAGATGTTCCCTGAAAAAATAAAATTTTGCAAGCAGATATATTTGGGAAACCCTGAATATACAATCTTCCATTTATGGAGAATGTTGACACACATTACAACTGTAGGAAAGAAATCTGTTGACCTTATTTGCCCCAATGCTTCCTCAACTTTTACTTGGAACACAAGTTGAGGAATGCTGCCCTAGCAATATGGTTAGCAATGGGAAACATTGTTTAAACTCCTCTGCCATATCCACCCAGATTTGCTAATATTCTCATTGTCATCATCATCATTGTCATCGTAAAATATTATTAAATGATCTTGATTAATTACCACACACAGAGAATTACATACATAATTCCCGTGTTATCCAAATTTACAATTTAAGGCTGTCAGTTCAAGTCCATACACACGTGTACAAAGCATCCAGACAGCACCTGAAACATTAAGCCAAGATACAGCACATTTTCAGCTTAGATTATAGAGTTTTTATTTAGTTAGGGATCGAGAGATGCGATTTTTAAACAGAAAGTCTTAGGATAAAGCCATGATCTAGCTATTGGCTATCTTTGGGGTTATCTAGAACTATTTAAATAATGGGGAGAATGCTTGGGAAGTTGGTAAGAAGTGTGTCTCAGGTGCAAAATGCTGCATTAAAGAAAATGGTAACAGAAACAGAAAGCAGCAGCAAGGAGCCCTAATCAAATAGGGAAGATTCCTCATTTCCGGGCTTGTAGGAAGAGGAGTTAGGACTGAGTCAAGAGGAAGGAAGCAGTATAAAGAAAAATGAAACAAGGTCAAAACAAACTTGGCCAGCCCAAAGTGGGCTCTATTCCTGATCGTTTGTAGGGTTGTATGATTAATTAGATTTTACAGATGTAAACATTTAGCTTCCTTACCAGAAGGATACAGCCTAGCATGACTTAATTTTCTCATTGTTGTTTGTGGGAGTAAAACTATTTGAGTTCTGTGAGTGAATAGGTGACAAGCTTATCACTCATATTCTTCAGAGTACACATTAGTATTTTAATTTGTAATGATAAAATATCTGTTGAGAAATAATGATACACAAGATAAAAAGAAATCAACATTGAATCAGCTAGCATTTCTTTTTTTCCCCAATTAATGGATGAACATGTAAAATAGATATTTAATGTGCATAGACATTTAAATGTACAAGTTACTTCAAATGGGTGTTTATTTTTCCACTATAAAGACTTATCAGTTCCTGTGAGTTCATAATTTGACAAAGACACTGTTGGCACTGAACTTCAGGAAAAGGCAGCTTTCTAAAAATGTCCCTATTCTATTAAGGGTTGCCTTTTTAGTCATTGGATTTATTTACTTATACACCCAAACTACTGCTTTGGAAGTTGAATGTGTGAACTAAAAGATCTGTGACTACAGAGAACTCTTTCTACTTCTGAATCTTCTATAGGTATCACTCCTATCCATGGAGGACCAAGAATCACCCAACCAAAAGATGAAAATGCTGCATTTTGAATGGACTTGGTTTTCCCAGTGATGTTTAAGCTCTGGACTTGAGCCACTTGCCCAAAGATTGGGTGCTATTAAGAATGTGGAAGAGAAAAGACCAAGATGCCATGGTGCCTGCAGGACCTCTTTCTGAAAGTCTGGTGTTAGGCTATATGACAGCTGCAATGCTTAGAGGCTCCATTCCTAGGATGCATTACATACAGGATGACAGGGCTCTCAATGTGCTCCTGGGAGAAAATGCTGCAAAATTCATCTGTAGGAAGAAAACATACTCTTCACAGAACTTCCCTCCAAGTTAAAAAAAAATCTTGTCATATTTTTCAAAGGCATATTTTTAAGGATTGCCGAAAACTATGTTCAAAGTCATCTAGCCTTTTATGTATAAAAAGTTTGACTTAAAGAAAATTATAGGATTCATAATAATAATATATTGGGTGAGTCACTGTTATCTCCCATTTTTTTTTAATCCTAAAAGATATTCAAAATACATAATTGAATTTTTTTTTGTTCATTTGTTTTAATGAAAGACTTGGTTCTCTCTTAACCACTTGGGTGCTAGTGGTCTTGAACCCTGATACAGTGTAGACAGTATTTGTAACCTTGCACAGCCTCTGGGAATAACTGTCAAATTGTTGGATTTAAGTTACAGTAATAGAATATATTAATGTATAGTGTGTGTATATGTACATATATAAATACACATGGGGAAGAGAGAGGTTTTAATTAAGTTAATGCTTTGCTGCTGATCAAATTATAGTGTTTTTAGAGCACTTTGAAGGGTTCATAGAATCTAAGAAAGAGATGCAATATTCCTTATTCTAAGACCTTCCTTACTAAAATTACCTATGTTATTTAAATTTTTTTTATTGTTTGGGAATTTGAAATGAAAAAAGTTATATAATAAAATATAAGGTTTTTCTTTATTCATTGAGACATCCCTAAAAAAGAGAAATCAATGCCAAAACAGTGTCCCATTCCTATGCAGGGAGCATTTATGAGAAAAAATTTCTAGATTCTTACTGGGCTAAAATCTCTTTAACTGGCTTCTTAGAACTGGTATAATGTTAGAAAACCCTTATTGCCAAATCAGATGGCACTACTTTAAGAACATTTTAATGCTATACAATTAGTAATCCGAAAGCTGAAATTATTATTTTTAATTACTTCTCACTGAGTTCTGCTATTTTTATTTACATTGATATATTTTTAGCATGATTGAATAGAATTTAGTTCAATATATCTACAGTGGTTGAAACACAATAACCTTTTGTATAGTATGGAAAAATCTTTTAATGCAAATCCAGACTATTTTTACAATTAGTATGTTTAATACTTAAATGATATCCAAATTCCATTTAGCTTAACTTTGAAAATTGCCAATGAATCTTTGCTTTTATGCCAAATTAATAATAACAAATATACTGTAATTTAAAATAATAGATGCAAATACAGTAATGAAAATTTCAGTTTCAGCTTTCAAACCAGTTCCATCCATATGGGAAATTTACATGTGAAATCAAAATGCTATGATTTTGTTGATTTAAACCAGGCAAAATTTTATTCTTATTCCAAATTAATTTGAATATGCACTATTACTTTTTATGTTTTTTCATGTATGGAATGGGAACATTTTCTCATTGTAGAGGAAGCGCAGGCCTAGAGGGGCACAAATTTTAATTGTGATAGAAGCCAGTACTTAGAAATAAACCAAGCTATGGGGCAAAAGTTTGAACAGCAAAATTCTTTTTCAAATGACGATATATAGTAGAAAAGAATAGTATTCAGAGGTCACACCTTGGTTAGAAAAGAGAAATTATTTATTTGAAGGTGTTCTTAAATGCATACTGTTGATCTTATTGATGAGAGCTGGAGCAAAAGATTACTATCTAACAAATTCTCTTAGACTCTACCTACAGATGGCATTGGTTATGCTACAGGAACCAGTATGAATTAACAAAAATAACAAATACATGTCCTTTTCAACAGCCACTTTAGGCCCATCAGCTCTGTGCTGATAGATACATTCGTTTGCCAAAAGAATGAATGTGTGCTATTTGAATCCCCCCTTACCAGTGACTGAATCAACATTCTCCCAGTGCAGGAGTAAGCCCTTAAGAGAAAGTTAAGTACTGGTAAGGGAACCATCTTGTGCATAGAGGCACATCCTGACAGTGAAAGTTAACTTTTCCAAAGCTCTCGCTTTCCTTCAAACAAGCCCACCCCTGCCCCCCACTTTACAATAAACAAAAATAATCATTTTGTTCTGACTATCTGAAGTGTCTTCTAATGCAAAGAAATTATTACTTGAACTTAATAGGCCTCTTAATATTTTCTTGATTGCATTAAAATTTTTTCTCTTTTGTGAAATTTTTAATTACTTGTGCAATGAAATCCTTGTGAATTCATCTAATTCTCAGTTACTGAATATTTGTATGGGACAGAATATGAATCAATCTTTTCAGATCATTTTGTTACACGGATACTTTGGTTAATTACGTTATGATCCACCAGCTCTACCTGAATATGTGTATTTGAAACCTTAGTTTGCTTTGTTCCATTCTCAGGGAAGTGACTGCAACAGGCCTACATGCTTACTGGTTGTTGTTAACCACTTCTTCCAAAGTGTAATATTTAATTAGAGATCTTCAGGGAATAGCAACATGGACACTAGACCAAGAACTCATGGATAAATTTCAGAAACCTCCTAGAGAAATGCTGCTTGGGTTAAATATGGATATTTGTGTGGCACTGGACAGAGTGCAGAGTCTGTTTTGACATTCTAATGAGAACCTACTTAAGAAACACTGTTATAAAGTTTACCCAAATGATGGAACTGATTAGGACTTCTGGTCTTCCTACAGGTACCATCTATGAGTTATTAAATACTATGAATTTTGATATTCAAAAACAAATAGGTTGTTCATGTACAATTCCAGCAATATCATCAGTTAATCACTCATGTTTAAGATGTGTGAAGGCAATATATTGTTTAATCAATTTTATCAGTATTAATATGCATAGAATCCACTTTCTTTTTGTTTTGCTGAATTGCAAAATATGTTGCTATTTCTCTTTTCCGTTTAGAAAAGTGAGGAAGTGTGCACAGCAAATATGCTGAATTCCTTTAGAAATAGCTTCAACTTCTACCTGAAGGCAGGAAAAGCTTTTTTATAAGCTACTTTTGTTGTTTACCTTTTGCTTTTTTGATATGTATTCATCAACCGGAAAGGCCATGCAAAGGATTCAGGGCTGAAACGGCTTCTCAGCACCCTGGAGATGTAGCTGTGAAGGGCTCCTAAGCAAGGAAATCGTAATACTTCTGTACATTGACCTTGACTCTGGGTGAAATTCTATCCAAACGTGAATTTCTTCATGTTCTACAACTAAATGTGATAATAATTGTATTTTATACATCTTTATGACATCTTTCAGATTATACCTGTTGATGGAAATTGGCATCATTTTGGATAGATTATTTTTTCAATTGAAGTGTGCTGCTGACAGTATGCTTATCCTTGAATGCTATTTTTCATATTGATAGGAAGACTCAAATTTGAGTCTCAGAAAAACAAGTTTGTGATAAAGAAATTCTTATGTGTGTCATTACGGTTAAATTGCATATTGTAAATATGACTGTTATGGTTGATTATATTCCTGCTATGATGTTGTTTCCAGACTTGCAAGAGAGATAGGAAAGATTTGATGATTTCGATGGGGTGACTGATAGATAATGCAAATTTACACATCTTCTGGGTTCATGGGCAATGATTGTTTTTAACAATGAAGATCACATACCCTAATAGCAGAATTCTTGGTATATGAGGTATGCTAGATTTTCTTTTTACTACATATATGCAGCAATTAACTAATAATGTACAAAACAATTAAATGCAGTTTATTGTATTTAAAAGTCTATTCACAATTGAAAACTCAAAATTATTCCGTAAACATGACAAGCTGCCTTTTTTCCATTTTGTACTATAAATCTCTGCACTGTACCTGGAAACTATATTTAGAAGTAGCGAAGTGTATTATGACTTGTTAAATGCTGTCATTTGGAAGTAGCTTGCCTTTGTTTTCTCTGAACAAAGATAGTTTTGTCTTTATAGAAAATCACTGTCATTTTGACAGGTAACCAACAAGTCTACATAGATGCTTGGAATTGATCTGGTGAGCTCACAAATGAAAAATTAGCTGAAGGTTTCACAATCGTGTGACCAAATGGTCCAATAAAACAAGTAGAAAGAGATTTTGGACTAGAAATAACCCACCAAGAAGAATACATGCATTAAGGCCTTAGCACCTTCGAGTCAGACTGTGAAGGTCACTTTTAAAACGATATTTTTAACTCATGATTTAGTTTTACATTTCAAGCACAATTTGAGTCAGGAATCTGAAAAAGAATATAAGGTTTATAAATGACTGTTACATTTTAGTTTTCCTTGCCCTCCAGATTCTCTGTTTTTTGTCTTATACTTCAGTGAATTTGGAAGGAAATGCAGCTTGTTTGGGGATACCTCATGTCAAGAAGGAATATCTGAAGTAGTTGTATGAATCCAACATTTAATTGAGGGAGGTGAATAAATATAAGTATTCAGAAGTGAAACCCCAACTTGCTAAAGATGAAAGAGGGATCTTTCAAGGATGTGGGATAATCCCCAAATAAAACCTTCCTTGAGAAATTGGAGGACAAGTAGAAGGCAAGGGGTTCCCCAGTGCCTGACATCACCCAACGGGCTTGTCACAAGATGGTGAGTGATTGGCAAAGGGCCAGGTACTCCACGACCTTGAATGTTTCATATTGTTCCCCAGAGTGCAGTTATCATTAGACTGTTATCTCAGCACTGTCACCAGTAAGGTGACCACCCAGAATGGCCCGCTAAGGCTCCCCAGTCCCTTGTTGGTAGGATCCCTTGGACAGCGATCTTCTGAAGTGTTTCAAAGACTTTAAACTCCTCAAAGAAGCAGCTTTGCCATCAAGTAACTGCAGTTCTGTCTCTGGCGGCCATGGTTTCCCTCCACATTTTTCATCCATGGCTTCATTCAGGTCCTTTTCATCTGACAATGGAAATTTTATAAGAAATATATTTAGAAGTTAGATAAATGATGGCAGATTTGAATATGCTTACACTTAACTAGATTAGAAAGAGACATTTTCAGGTATTTTAGTTGTTTGCAAGTAAACCAGTTGATAGGCTATGGAAAGATTCCATCATTTTGCTCTTCCAAAATAGAAAACAAAAATCAGTTAAAAGAAAAATCCTCTGAGTGCATTTTGTTTACTGACATTTAGTGGATCAAAACTGAATTATAGTGCTTCCTGTATTTTATTGTTCCCAGTGGTAAGTTTGTTAGGATCAAAAAGAACAGAGCTATTCTCTGAAAAAAAAGTACGGCCCTAATCTCACATTGCCTAAAGCTTCTATTATCTGGACAGCCGAGGTGCATGACAGAGGCCTGTGCCTACAGAATGGAAAAGCACTTTCGATTTGCCTTTTTGCCCTTAGCTTCTAAGAGGGTATCTATTATTGTTCCAGCCCCATTCCCAGGCCTCTCTCCTGTCTGGAACACCCACTTTTCCCCATTCCTACCCAAGGAACAGACTTTTACCAGGTGTCCTGCAGAGATCCCTGTGTTTATTAGAGGAGACGTTTGTCATTCTGTGACCGATGTGTGATATGGAAGGCAGAGGGCTGACGGACTCCTCTGCACATGATTCTGTCTTTCCAAAACGTCCCAAACCCTTCTGCATGAGCACATCGAGATTCAAAAGTGCTGATGAACCTGAAGGCCTTGGAAGAGAAGAAAAATGAAATGCCTCTATAAAAGATTTATATAAAAAATGCAAGCAGCTTTTATTTTTGCTATTGCTTAAATATGCTCTATAAAATGCTAAAGAAATTAAAAATGTATTTTCAATCTTACTGGCAAAGAATTTCTCTTTTATTAAGAGTTCATAGCAAATGGTCATTTCTTTTCTCTCACCAGTTCCCCTGAATCTCTCCTTTTATGCTTTTTAGTCTTTTGATTAAAAAAAAAAAAAATCTCCCAAATAGGCCATGTTATACGTATTTAAGCTCAAATGTGTCCCGCAGTTTTATTTGGTGGGTCCCTGTAGGAATTATCTATTACTACAAATAGTGCATAAAGAAATACTTCAAAACTTAATGACAAAATGGCAAGCATTTTTTATCTCTCATGAATCTGTAGATCAACAGGGCGATATTCTGCTGATCTGAGCTGGGCTCGGCTGATCTCTGTTCCCTCACGTGTCTCTGCTCAGCTGGCAGGTTGCCTGGGGTCTGGCTGGTCTGGGATGGACTCAGGGGACAAGTCAACTCTCCTCCATGTGTCTTACATTCCTCCAGCAACTTAGCTGATGTGTTCTTGTGGCAGTAGCAAGAGCTGGAGAAATATGTGGAAATGCAAGACACCTTTGTCAAGGCTCGGCTTACATCATCTTCCCCATTCTCATCGGCTGAAGCAGATCACATGCTCGAACCTGTTAGCATGGGAGGGTGCATCAGGTTTTTATTCCTATGTAACAAATTACTATAGACTTAGCAATTAGAAACAACACACAATTTTTATCTCAATTTCTGTAGGTCAGAAGTTTGGCATGCCTTGCGCAGGTCCTCTCACAGGCTAGAATAAAAACATGGGCAGGGGGTTGGGGCCTCATCTGGGCCTTGGGGTCTGCTCCCATGATTGCTAGCAGACTTCAATTCCTCATGTCTATAGGACGACTAAGGTCCTCAGCAATTACGTGTAGCCTGTAGTATAGTCCCCTGCCATGTGGCCCTGTCCATAAACAGTTTAAATCAAGGCAACTTGCTTTTTCAAAGGCCAGCAGGAGAGTCAGTCTCTTTCGTATCAACTGAGACAGAGTTTGATGACATAACCAAATCAAGGGAGTGATTTGGTTATGTCATCAATCTCTGTCTCAGTTGATATAAGCAAGTTGTTATAAGCATATTCTAGTTGTTATAAGCAAGTCACAGGTGCAGCCTACACGCAATGGGAAGGGATTGCACAAGGGAACCGATGCTTGGGATCACCTCTGGGTATATCTGCCACAGACTGAAATGCCAAAGGGCGCACCCATAGGTAGACCTGAAATATTAGAGCCGTGAAATATGAAGTATCACAATATCAAAATACCTGTAGAAGAGAGTATTGTGTGAGGTAGTCTCATGAAAATGACCTTAGACCGCAGGACCTGAATCCCAGAACATTTCTAGTCCCCCTTCAAGGTTTTTCAGTTAATTGTCTCCAGCAGACTATTTGAAAGCCAGATCTAAC